TTTTCTGACCTAAAGAGCTTACAATTTAGTTCAGAAAATGGGACGGCCATGTGAACCATTTCCTAAATAATTGGTCCTTACCACAGAATGATGATAATATGCCAGACTACCGAAGTCTTCCCTTATCGGCAGTTCTGTTTTCTGTGATTTCAGTTACGGTCAACTATGGTCTGAAAATATTACATGGAAAATTCCAGAAATAGACAATTCCTACGTTTTAAATTGCACACCATGCTGAGTAGCATGGTGAAATCCTGCGCCGCCCCACGCTGTCCCCCCCCCGGGACGCACGTCGTCCCTGTGTCCTGGGCACCCATGCGGGGCGCTCGGCCTGCCCGCCAGCCCGCCGAGAAGTGGCTGCCTCGGGTCAGATTGCCTGTCTCAGCGTCTCAGTGCCTATGTGCAAGTCACCCTTATTTTATAGAATAACTGCCCCAGAGCCATTCCTATAACTTTTATTATAGTATATTATTGTAATTGCTCTGTTTTATTATTGTTATTGGTAATGTCTTAATGTGCCTAATTTGCAAATTAAACTTTATCACAGGTGTGTATGCATAGGGAAAAGCATAGTGCATACAGCGCTGGCACTACTACGTGCAGTTTCTGATGCCCACTGGGGGTCTTGGGTACGTCCCCCTGGGGATAAGTAGGGCCTAAGGTATATAGTTTTTATAATGAATTGTGATGAGCCTATAATGAGAGAAGAATCTATAAAGAGAACTTGTTTAGTAAAGACAATAAAAGGAGTTAAATAGTAGCATATCCTGGTCGTTTGTATTGTTCTTGTTTATTATATAACAATGTGTACTCATTTTTAAACCTATATTTCCAATTTATTTTACAGTTAAAATTCCTTTTTAACAAATACAATTATAGCAGCAGCCAGTTCTGTGTAATAAAAATATTTCTTCTGCTGGCCGACCGCCCGTGCTAACACCCCTTTTCCGATGGAGATCCAAGACTCCTTGTAAAGGAAAAACCCCGTATGAGAAAGACATTCACAATCCCCGTCCGTTTGACAGCAAATCTACTTAAAAAGGCTATCCTTTCAGCAGAGTATTGACGTAAAGGACAGGTCTGCATATCTGCTCAGTGTTAGATAAGTCTTAACGAAACATGACTTCTTCAATGCATTGGTTTTACTTGGGGATTTTATGCATCTTCTTTCTCCAGAGAGAGGTGCTGACCACTGTTGGCAGTCCGCGTGGAGGACTGCAGGACTCTCCTCTGTGGGTCTCCGGGGCCGGGGCAGCAGGGCGAGCGTCCTGGCTTGCGATTGCCTTCCCCAAACCAGCTGGTGTTGGTGCTAAGAGAAGGACGCAGTCTCAATCCCGTCACCCAAAGCTACTCTTCCGTTGTTTTTGAAAGGGTTCTTGTAAATATATTAGAAAACAGGAATGCCTAAATGAAATGTGGAGAATTTGCAACGTGTCTGTCTCTGGGATAGGCTCCTGTGAGACAGCCAGGCTCTCCGCATTTACCTGAATGCTTTCTTGCCTTAGGAGACGAGTATGTAAGTGTTTGGGTTCAGACGCCCTCCTGTCAGGCTCCAAATTAGGTGAGACTGGTAAAGTAAATAAAAGGTAATGGATTGTGTCCATACATGACTTCATTCTGTGCTTCCAACGACTTTATCAATAACTGCTGGAGGGTAAGGCTCAGCAGTAACGTGTGCAGTAGGTGCCTCCTGGCCCTGGAGACTGGCCTTACTTCCTGAGGTGTCTAGGTGTGCCAGACTAAAACCTTCTTCCTTCACCTTTGGACACAGCCAGTGTAGTTTTCCTACAATGATTAATGCTTTCTTTCTCTAGGCTTAGACTACTAATTACACCCAAGTTTTTTGAACTGTCTTCAGCAAATTCACCCGCAGGTAGGAGCACTGCGGACTCAGGCGTGTGATGAATCAGGTTGTCCACACCCTGCTTTCATTTCTCCTCCGTGGTCAACCTTTGTTTCCTCCAAACTAAATTTCTCTTGCTGCCCGCTGAACTCAAATCTTAGGACTTCAGCTGCATGTTCATGGGATATGAGTGGAGGGGTATTTTGTTTCATTTTTTCCCAAAGATCTTCCTATTTTTGAAACTACTAGCAGTTAGTAGAGATTTGGACCCTACGTTTCTCCTGAACTACTAAGACAAAGCGTCAGAAGTTACATTTGCAGAGCATCGTATCATTAGACACAGGCAAAAACTTGCTCTTCAGGCGAACACTGCGCGTTTCCTGGCGTCTGGCTGCCCCCTAGTGCAGCGCGCCAGGGAGTGCGTCCTTCTCCGCAGGCGCCGGCTTGCATTGTTCCGTCTGGTCAGTCGCTTCTGACCATGTGGTTAGACACTAATTCGTCCCTCCAACGAAATCCTCCAGGGGTCAAATAAGTTTGATCTCGCAGCAGGAGTTTGGTGGGCCAGAGAGTGCAGATGGGAAACTGAGCCTCAGCGGAAGCCTTCACGGCCCTTCCAATGGAAGGATGGAGTTGAGCTCCCCAGCAGGGCTCGTGGGGAGCTCTGAACCCGAACACACCTGGACATGCTCTAGCGCAGGCGGAGCGCCTCAGGGTGATCGCCATGTATCGGAGGACCAGGTCTTGCGGTAACAAATGTTCTCGGGCAAAGTAACAAGACGACTGGGCTTTGAAAGAAGGAACCTTGGGAAATTCCCTTAACCTCTCTGAGTCTTTGTAAAACTATCATTTATGAAAAAGCAATCTTAGGGTGTTTTAAGGATTTAACACGTAACCTGTTTTTGAAGGCTTTATACACTTAAGTATGTGATATAAATCTTCCCCTATTAGGTTTACTGTGGCTGAAGTAGCCATTAGATGCAATTTAAGGATTATGGAAAGGCATTCTGACCCCAAAGGCTTGGTCTCAAAGTTGTTCTGAAATGATCACAAAATTGCAAGCCAGTATGTGGTCTCCATGCGGTTTTTGCCAAAATGACTTTTAACAAGATTTTTAACTTCGTAGGGTCTCTGTTTTTCCATCTATAAAGTATTAATGCACCTATTTAAAGAGATTAGTTAGGGATTTAATGAGATAACATATGCCTGGCACATGGCATTTTTCAATAATTGTTAGTTCCTTCCTCCCCTCGTCTTTTTTTTCCGGTCTGAAATAGTCAGCACCTGCCTTTGACACCAGACACTGACGGGTAGATGCTGGACTACAAGGCCCTTTTTCCGAATTGTCTACAAAAGAGCTGAAAGGCAACCTTTTCCGGTCACTGTTAACTTTCAAACATTGGCAAGGAATTTGCAGTAGGAAGTGGGATAGCCGTGGCCATTGGAATCTTTGGCGTTGGAAAATATGACTGACAGGAACTTCAAGATGCTGCCTGCTCAAGAACTGCGCACACTTTATTGTGAGAATGAAAGAGATTTTCCTCCTTTAGTGATGATTATAGTTGCAAATTTGGCTGACGGGCAGACAAGAGAAAAGCATGCAATGCAGGGAAGTTCATTTTCTGATAATGGAATCTTTTTTCTAAAGCACGCCTTATAAATATTACACCTACTTTTCAGAATCAGAATATTCAAAAAGCAGATGCTCAGCCTTCCTAGGGTGAATTTGCAAACAACAACAAAAAAAAACAGGTTTTAAACTCACTATAACAGAGGGAAACAGCCACACGCACACTCAAGCTTTCCCTCACGTATGCTCTTAGTAAAATATACATCTTTGTGCTTTTATGCGAGGCTTTTATGTCGGCGAGAACACTGAAAATCGGGCGGGTTTTGTTAGGCGGTCAGGAAGTTTCCATGGAGAGAAGTAGGAGATGTTTAGCGACGACCACCGCTTGCCGGTCGGGAAGTGTTTGCGCTACGACCCTTCCTCTCGCCTGTACCCGGGTTTTGTCAGTGCCCTGGGAGTGAGGTGGACAGAAGCCAGAGAGAACCACGTAAAATTATGCATTTCATTAAATGTGTGTAAAATCTTTTCAAATCATCTTAGACATTGTTTCGGAATCCACCAAGGGGGAGTTACACTCGATTTGAATCGAATCTCTAGAGTGAAGCCAGAGGTAAGGAGATATTGCCCCGTTCAACCCCTCCGTTCCATAGATGAGGAACCAAGGCCTAGAGAGCTCACATGGCTAGAGTGCCCTCCCTTCCTGCCGCCTCTCTGTTCTAATGTCCTTATCATGTCGGCCTGGTCCATCTCCCCGTAAAAAGGCACTAGACCTGATTTGCACGTTGGATCTTCCCTCGGCATGGAACAGTAGGCCATTCAGTAAATTCTATTCTTAATCTCCTCCACAGAATCGCTCCTTCCCAATAGAAGTTATAACTCGAACAGAGAGGAAAAGGATTACTGAATGAGAATATTATCTTTAGTAAAACATTTCTTTTAATTGTTTGATGCAAAATCTCATGTCCCAGTTTAATATTTTAGTCTATTTCTTGGGTGTGGAAAGAACTCGTTTGTGAATTAACAATGAGATTCTTTTGTTACATTGGGAGAAAAAGATGTGTTCCAGTTCTGTGCTTTACAAAAACTGCAGGGATTGTATTTTTTTATTTTATTATAAAAACCCATTTAGCAACCAGTTTAATATTACTCACCACTTAACGAATATTTCTTGAGCTCCTACTATGTTCCTAGCACTATTTAGAATCTTAAGATGTATCAGGGAACAAAACAAATATTTCTGCTTTTGCAATTATATCTTAATGTACATTTCGCAACATAAGAATGAACTATTGATTTTCAACACTAAATTATTCTTGGACAGCATTCTAGTGAAAGTGTGTCATTTTAAAAATTGCCTCCCTTAGAATAGAAGGCCTGCTTTCTCATGAAAATAGCTTTTTGGTTAAGATGCATGAAATCTGGCACAATACTGCCGCCTGGCGGCTGCTTGAATCAGGAAACCACACAGCGTCAACTCTTTTTCAGGCAAGGTTTATGGCGAAAATTATCCTATTTTTCAGTAAAAGCCTTTGACACACAGTGACCTAGCCAGGAGTATTAAGAGTGTGATTCCTTATGGTTTTGTAATAGAACGACTGGAAGGGCTCCATCGCTTTTGTTGTTGGAAACCGGACTGAGGACGATCTTCTCATTCGAGCCCTTGCCCTCGCAGTCCAGGCCCCTCAGCGGAAGCTCTTCAGTCTGATATCATGGCAGGACGTTCTCCGGCAGGTACCTGTTCCTTCCCTCTCCAAGCCCCCTGAAGATTTTTTTTTCTTACAATAACATAAAATAATATTCTTGGGCCATTTGGTACATTTTGGTGGATTATTTTTAAACACTTCACTAGACTAATTTGAATCATTTAATCTGAAAGAATTACATTTTGTCCTTGAATGTTGCCCATTCAACATTCACTCACTCAACCAAAATTTCTGAGGCCATCCCAGGCTCCATGCTAGGTTTTATAGGGAATTATTTAATGAAAAGATTCAATTAAGTAAAAGAAAAAAAAAAACTAATGTTCCAGGGAAGCCCAACTAGAAAGAGGAAGTCTACAGAGAATCATAGCTGTCAGAGGTTAGAGGGTCCCCATAACATAGCCGAGCTGTCAGATGGCACCTGCTCATACAGTTACCAAGAGCTGACCACAGTGACTATACACAGTATCGATGAATAGCACTTATTTGCTGGGTTCCCCAACCAGTCAAGTCACCGAGGTATTTGAAAGTTACCTATGTCTAAGTATTCTTTTTGTGTGCCTTTCTTTCTCATTAGAGATGAATTTAATTTTCTTACAGATTGATGAAGCAAATGTACTCTTTGGAACCGCAGCTAGAAAGGCAAAGAACCCAGGAGGCAGTAGCATTCCCTTATATTACGAGGTAGGTGAACATCTTTATTGAAGAGATTTTTGTTGTAGAGAATTTAATTCATTCTTTAAGAGAAAATTCCTGTTTCTCATTGGAGCTGCTTGTTCCTGATGATGGGCACTTAAAAAAAATCTGTCCCCCTTCTAACTAAGGTCCTCCCTAGGAGTCAATTTATCCTATATTGTCTCTACCATCACTGCATGCAAGAGAAGAGCATAAATCAGAAATTTTTATATGCAAGACTGTTTTGGTCATACTTTTTCATGGTAATTATTGACTATGTGGTAGTATTACAGGAGGTTGTATTATTAGTGTATTAAAAAGTATTAGTTTTACCAGAGAAAGAATGTAAAAATGCCCCCAAGGTGTTTCCTGGACAAGACAGAGCTGCAGCGGAAAAATTTTTTTCTCCATTTGTGAACTTGGTGCACATTGTACATCCCACTTTCATCTGAATGTGAAAGGTCATGGGAAAATGACAATAATCTTCAGATTAACGGTCCAAGTCCACATCTAGCAGATGCTTAACACCACAGCCTGGCTTGGTTGACCAGTGGGTTTGTGCAAAGGACTGAGAGCTCCATGCTGAGTACAAGAGTATTTCCTCTCACCCCAACTTGTTAAAGGGGATCTAACTTACAGCTTACAAGAAACTGTAAAAAAATCCAGGGATTAATTAGAATATCACTTAAAATTTGTCGGGCACTGTTTTATGGCTCTGCAGACCGAAAACATAAGGATTTTTGGATCTTTATAAGATGAACTTGTTTGCACTTTATTTCAGTGATGACTAATAAAGTTTTTATATGTCTCAGGTCTTGGATGATTTTAGTAGTAATATCTGAACAAGTTTCATCGGATCTATTTATGGTTGACAATACTGTGGATTTTATAGCATTAACTCTTGCTACACTGTCATAGAGTTAAATAACATACCTACTATCTTTTATTATAATATTCAAAGTGTGTGCACTCCAGTTGAAACATTAGGTAATACTCGGATTTAAATTACTGGAAGTTTTCCCCTGAAGTAGCCATAGAAATCCATGTCCAATTCTCAGGCCTGGGATCAATTAGCTCCCCAACGGACTCTTTCTTCTTCAGAAATGGTCAATGAAAATCAGAGATGATAACAGGCCAGTTTTGAAGTCTAATCTGGACCGGCATTTTGACTCAGATGGGGGATAGCACAGTGTTAGAAATCCAGAGGTCAGTGAAAAAACCATTTCTCTGCAATATGTGCTGTGACTCTAGACTGCCTATCCTTCACTCATGGTAGGTCCATTTCACATCGGGCTCTACCGCATTCTTCCAGTGGGGCTTTGGGGTACCCTTTTTTGAATGATTCCAGAAGAAAAGGGAAGGCAGGATGAGCAGCAGCACAGGAATTGGACGTTGGCCAGAGCGGATGTGCATTAATATCAATCACTGTGGCAAAAAAAGGATAAAGGACACAATCAAATGCAGACTCTCGGGCAGATGGGTCAAAGACAGCAGGTAGATCTGGAGCAGAGGGGCACATTTCCCATCTTAGTCCCTCCACACTTAGGACTGGGTCAGGACCTCTGTTGCCTGGTGCCTCATCTCAAATGAATTGGAAGTTGTGGGCAGTGCCTACTGTGAGCCCCGAGGTAGCTGTGGGTGGTGACCTCGATAGAGGCCCAGAGGTTAAACTTTTCTGAGATCTCTGGACTTGGAAGGCACGTGCACAGTCTGTTCTTTCGTCTGTTTCTGCTTCCAGTTGCACGTGGCCCATAGCAGCGGGGCCACTGGCCACAGGTGAACTCCTCGGAAGCCTGTTTAGAGAGTCTTGTATTTTCTTTCTCAAAGGAAACTACAATGGAAAAGAAAGACACCCTAACAAAATTGCTTTGGTTACATGGGAAATTCATGGTGTTGCTTTCTTTTAGAACTCCACTTTGGAGAGAGAGCTCAGAATAGATGTTATGAAAGCCACACACTTCCATTTACTTCTGTTTGTAGGAGAATCTCGTTGGCCTAAATCTGAACCTAGTCGTTCTTACTTTAAACACAGCCCTGACCAGTTTGGCTTTCTGGTTTCCTAGCCTGCGGCTGATTAGGAGGAATAGCAAATTAAAGTGAAACTTCAGTATAGTGCAGTTCATCCGCGAGTAGTAAAATAGTGTCAGAACCACATTACATATTTCCAATAACGACATGAAATGTCTGGGCCAGCAAAGACCACATTCCTAAATGGTTTGCTCAAGCTTTCGTTTGGATGGCTTGGTGCTGTGTACACATAGCCTCATTTTTGAAATTGTGTAATTTCCCCTTAAACTTTAGAATTTCATCTAGCCTTGATATTGTATATATGAGAGTATTTATTTATAAATCACAGTTCTTTGAAAACCTGCCTAGATTTGTGCTCATGTAATTCCACAGGGATGTAGCTACAGCCCGTTCATTCACTTTCTCTTTTTGGAAACCGTGTTTTGCTCTTGCAAGGACTACCCCAAGGACTCATGTGGAAATAAAAAGAGAATAATCTTCTTTAGTTTCAGGAATGTTAACTATTTTTTTATTATATTATTACTATTTAATGAGGATGAAGATAATGATGATCTCAGGCACTGGCATCACATATAAGTACAACTCCTAGCATGTAATCCTTTTTGAAGATGTGCACATGTATGAAAATGGACATAGATATTGCCTGTATTATATAGCGATCAGTTTTACCCAATAGTAGTATTTTACCAAATACAGAATAAGTATATTCTTGTTCTAGCACTAGCTTTAAATACCATCTGGATAACGGAGAGGGGAATATGAATATTATAAAGACTCTACGCTCAAGAAGCTTAAGGACTAGTTAAGAAAAAATAAGAGGAAAAAAATGTATAGTTCTGATACATAGTAGGTATTCAACAAATGTTTGTTAAATGAGTGAACAACCCAATGCAGAAAATAGTCAGTGAAGTCAGGAGGGACAGGTGACACCCTGTAGGCATTCCAAAGCAGATGAGATTACTGTTAGCTAGGGGCTAGCACGGGGGAGAGCTTTGTGGAAAAGGTAGCACTGGGAGGGCCAGGAAAGGGGTCCTCATAATTTTGATTTTTTAGATACATCATCCCAATCAACCCATATAACACTTCTGAAAGGAAATATAAATATCTTCATTTTACATTTAGGGAAATGGAAGTAACAGAAGGTAGAAAGTCTACTAATTAGAAAATTGAAGAACTTGGCTCAAGTTTTTCCACTTTACCACAAACCCAATACTATTTCCCTGGCCTCAAAGCTGTTCATCCCTGGATAGTTCTTGACGTTCAAATGTTGGGGGCGTGGGGGGAGGATTCCAAGAAAAAGGAACCGTTCAAGCTAAGACATAGGAGCGGGAGAATAATGACTATGTACTACACTTACAGTTACATGGTATAAAATATACTAAATAGGAAAGGTAAATCCTGTGCCCATTCTGATTATCTCTTTAAAATCCTAGAGATGGAAATCTATGAGAAAACATTTCAAACTCTGGGAAAAATCCATGCTTTAAGATTCATGCTTGGAACATAAATTTATTTGCTAACTATACACAAATATTTGTCTGTATATGTTTTACGGCCCACATAGAGAATCTGACCTGTTCATTTGCAGGTATGCTCTGTCCTGACCAAAACTGAACAGGAAGATATTAAAGGCCATTCAAAGCCAACGGCAGCGGCCCCTGTGAGAGGTGCCTATGTGTACTACACACGCACAGATTCTCCCACGCGTGATTAAGTCTGGCACCTAGGAAATGATCATTATAAGAGAGATGGACAAATTTTGGACTTTGATATTGTGGTTTTGATAAATGAGAAGGAAAAAAAAACTACCAACTCGGCAGGACTTTGTTTATCCCACTTACCTGAAATCAAATTCAACTTTCCTAAAAGCCTTAGATTCTACTCCATGGTTGTCTTCGTTTCATGACAGTGACGTTGCACTGTCCTACCTGGAAGGCCTCCATCCACGCGTGGACTGTGGTTTGCGTGCCTGTCTGTGACTTATTCAGAAAAGACAGATTAGGTCACCACAAAAACAAAAAACCAAAAATCTGCTGAAACAAAAATGGTCTGTAATTATAAAAGTTTTTATGCCCTAGTTGGCTCACTTATTTAAAAAATAGTCAATTCTGTACAATAAAACACTTGGACAATGCTAAAGATCATGTTATATAATGCAGTTTTACAAATGCAAATAAGTATTAATTTTCCTCGTTACTTATATCAGTAAAAAAAACCCTATTTTTAATGGATATATTTTAATTAAAATATGGGCCTTCTATTGAGAGATTGTTAAATGTGGAAAGATTTTTCTGTTATTAGATTGGAGAATAATGGATCAAATGCAGTTAAAAAAGACATAGGATGCACATTTAATATTATCAGATCTAATTAGTTTTACCGCATTTCTAAGACACTTTGCTAGTACATTGAATTAGTATCCCCAGATGTAAAAATTCCATTTTTGGTCTCTCTTCATGGGTATCTAGACGTATTTCTCAGCTCTTTCCCTAACATACATTCATAATAACTCACAAATCAGAACACAGATCAATTATAATCTGGTTGTCGCCCTTTCCCAGATTGTGAATATAAAACTTATTTCTTAAACAGTGCTTTAAATTAAAAGTCTATTCAAAAAATTGTAAGCCCTTATTTTGCGGGGTGGCCGTTGTCAAAATGAAAGAGGAGTTCATGCTTCAGAGATAGGAACAAATAATACGTGAAAACATTTAAGAGGTTTGAAGTTATTAAAATGGCAGATCTGCTGGGAACAGCAGGAGCAATATGTCATGGAAGAAACGAAGGGAAGGGGAGACAGGAAGCATTCTCTGACCTTTTCAATCCTGCGTTTTAAAACAAAACAAAAAAAATTCAGGAAGAATTGGAAGGTAGCCAACCTAATGCCGTTATTTCATAGAGCTTGGGGACACACCAGGAAATTACAGGCCAGTTAGTTTAACTTCACTTGTGGGGAAAGTATTAAAAACTGCTGCACGAGA